TTAATATGTGAAAATATGCATAAGGTTTTTTTTCCAACTTTTCCCAAGTAAACGAGCTTCTCAAAAAAAAAAAATCCACCTTTTTTGGCTTTATCAGGTTTTGGCCTCAACTGAAGTTGCTGAATGCTTTGAGTATATTCCAACTAATAAGGTTTTCAATCCCCTGAGCATTTATATTTCACTTTGAATTAATCTTTGTCAGATGAGCTCCAGGCATCACTAACGCAGAGTTGAACTGGTTGCATAAAATTTCAAGCTCAGTTCCTTGCGCCACTGGCCATGACAGTACTATAATAACTAATATACAGAATAGAGAATTTCGCTATCTTCAGAAGATCCCACACACCCACTGTGGAACAAATTCCTACTAATTAAAAACTGGTCCATGGGAAGAGGGAAAGAAGAGGTGGAGTATTCAAATATTTTGAAAGATATTTAATTGAATTTCTTTCTTTCAACCAGCATTCAGTGCCCAGACAGTAGACCAGATGGAACTGTGCAATTTATTTTAAGTATGACATGCTGTACAATAACTTGCATCTGTAGATATGGATAAAATCAAAAGAGAAAATGCTAAATGAAACTAAATATGAACAAAAGTGTAACAGACTTCCCGAGTTTTCATTGTGAAATAAAAAGAAACAAAAAAAAGAAACAACAGGTACTGAAGAGAGTAAGTCAAATAATTAACATGGTCTTACTTTGTAATTGGAAGATTCAAGTTACACTAGTTAAAAACATGTATTTCTGAAATGGTGTCCTCTTCAGTAGAGGATACAGAAATTATACATTTTGTTACCTTTTGCAACCTCCAGGAGAAAATACTTCACAGTGAAACACTCAGACCTATTTTCCTCAGACTTCAGTATGTCATCCTTAGTTAAAACAGACATGTCGTGCTGCACACAACATGAGCTGCTCCCACCTTTTAAGCACATCTATGCAACCCCATGCAAGCGAACCGAGCTTTTGCGCTGCAATTTCCCTGTTTTATAACAATGATTACACCCTTTAGTTTACCAAGAGCAATGAGGCCTGTCTGGATGAGCAAAACGACCACATTCTGTGGTCTCAACCTCGATGAGAATCCCTGTCAAAACACAAGCTAATGTATTTGTTTGCACATTAACTGCCCACGTTTTAACCTAAGGACCTAAGAGGCCCTCAAGAAAGGGCCTAGGGTAACGTGTCTAACATTTCTCAATTCTTCAAACTCAGAGCATGTTATAGTTACTGACAAAGCCCTTTGTTTTCAAAAAGTCCACCACATACCAAAGATAAACAAGACAAAACAAAGGATTATTAATCTTCCTGAAAATAACAATGTTTGACAAGAAAAATAAGCTTAGAAACAATGCTCAGCCCAATGTTACACTGACTTGCTCTCCTGCTTCTGCACACTTCTATCTGGGCAATTATTCTTCATTTAAGATGTTCTCTGACATTCCCTAAGTTTGCTTCAATAAGTTGCTATTTAATAGCACGTAGACCAAGAAAAGCAAAATAATTTGTATTTTATAGTGAGCTACAAGCCACTCAATATGATTCATTACAGCACAGATTGTCTTAAGAGATGCTTCACGTCAGCCCTATGTTATTCCAGTGCTGAATGCAATTCACGTACCCAACAAATAATAACGCAAAAGCACATTATAGCAGTACTTTACTGACTAGCACAATGCAGTTAGAATAAATACATAGTATCTTGCAACCCAATACCCATGAGACTGTCATTTACAGCCCATAAATACTGAACGACTTTCTACATAAACACTGATCTTTAGTGTATGTGTATGAGTAACAGCTTTATTTCTCAGATAGCCCTAACTTTAGATGACTTCATTTTTTTTTCCTCTGCAATGATTCATAAAATAAAGCATACATTTCCAGAAAAATCTCTTTCACATTAAATATCCCAAGACTTTGGAATTTAAAACAAATATGCTGAACTGGCTTCATCAAGTATTTTAACCTGTTACCTTATTAGGTTGCCTTTCACAAGAAGTACTGATTTAGGATAAGCCAATGCAAGTTGCAATGTGGGAAATTCTGGCTAGATATGAGACAAAAAAAGTTTACAGCAAGGGTGGTGAAATGCAGGATGCCTAGCATGGCTGCAAAATCTCCATCCTTGGAGATATGCAAAACTCAGTCAGAAGGGGCCCTGAGCTACCTGATGTCACTTGGAGATTGTAGCCCTACTTTGAGCAGGGGGTTGACAAGATGACCTCCTAAGTTATTCTGCAATTGTATAAGAACATAGGGAATGCCCACAGGCACACAGAAAGTATATCCATAGAAGATATGTTACTATCTGCTTGCTGCTTTTTCATCTTACAGAAAGAGAGAACAGAACACGACTGGATGCAGACATAAGATCGTTGTACTTAAGGTATGATGGACTGCACAGCTTTAAAAGGCAGGCACCCATCACTTTGTTCAGTTTAACAATGAGCCTAACTCTCACTGTTAATTAACTGCAGCCACTGTAGAAGCATACCCTTCTGGATATATAGCCTTCTCTGAAAGCAAGATTTGGCAGAGAACCCATGCTGGAAATGTGCCTGCTGACCATCACGTAAGTGCAGCCCTGGAACCCTTTCTGCCACCAGAAGTAGCCAGTGGTTTGGGGAAGAGATTTGAGAACCAAAGGCAAAGAAGGGGCCACACAACAAAGTCAAGCAGTTGAGTTCACACAGCTGGACTAGAGATTTCAGTCTGGGCTCCCAAGGCAGCTTGTGCATTTTTCACTAAAGCAGCAGGCACAGCATATACAAAACTTGGGTAGATTTTAAGTGGGATTTATCAAACCAAGAAGCCAGATCACATAGAAAAAACACCTACAAGGTGATTTAATTCAGAGAGAGACACCACCTCCTGCAAAAAAGAGAGAAGCTGCTCAATAGGCAGTGAGTGGTACCTTGTTTCTCTGAGAGGCTGTTTCAGCCAGGTTGTGACACTCTCCTAACAGCTCGCTTCACTTTTAAGTTGGGAAGGAGGAAAAAAAATCTAGAACTTTATCAATGGACAGTTGCCAACTCCCTCAACAACTATGACCACCAGGTCTCTCATCCCAGACAAGTTCTATAACCATTAATCCTCTCCACCTTCACTCTCCCAAAGTCAGATCTCTTCTTGCCTGTTAGCCTTCTGGTCTTTTACCAGATTTCTGTTTTTGCATTCCTGGATACATTAAGGTCCAGCTTAAGAACTGTGATGGAGCACATTCCCTGCAAGGACACTGAAACCCTTGGGGGGTTAAGAGCTTGCTCTGAGGCTGTAGGTTCAGATCCAGACAGGCTACAGAGGACCTAAATATAAAGCTTCCACATTCTGAACCAAGGACTCTAGCTTCCATGTGACCATGCCATAGGAGAGCATCTACATCACTACCAATAGTTCTGATCAGAAAAGGCTTTGGGGTTTGACAAGAGTACACAAATATAACCTGACATAGGAGATTTAAACTGTTTCCAAAGGCTGTCACAGATGCCTAAGTGTGCTTATTTGTGCAGCCCAAACCAATATCTATCTGTCCCCAGTTGCAGTAGAACTCCAGCTATAGTAAGAAGAGCAGAAACACCTCATCATTGGCCCTGGTGACACAAAGTTCAACAAACAAAACTAAACAAGGAAAGTTCCATTCAAGGCATCTTTTAAAAATGAACAGAAAGGAAAGAAATTAATTCTAAATCTTCATTAAAGTTCTGAACCCACTTTGAATAATGAATGCCTGTATTCCCTCAAGTGATTGTGTTATTCATGGTGCTGATGAGTGAAGAACTCAGAGCAAGTTCCTCCTGAACCAGCACTAATTTAACTCATCTTTAAATAATTTCCCAAAGAGTTAAGCGCAACTCAATGTTGCATCAGCAATGTGAGATGAAAAAAATCTGGATATTCTTTCATAATCAAATCCAAAATTATAAGAAAACTCAAATCAAAGCACAGGTTCTCATACCACTTGAGACCTTTTATTCCTCAATCTCAGAAACACAGGTGTAAGATACTATTGAAAGAAACTAGACTTAATTCAAGAAACTATTTCTCATAACCTATTTTAAAATAAAATTTAAAAAAAACTCAAGAGAGGAACATGTCCTCTATGAAATGTTCTGCTGACTTTAAAAAAATCTGTATAAATTAGCACACATGAGCAGCAATTTCTCATGAATGTTAATATAACCAAACTAAATCCAATAAACATGAAGGGAAGAAAAAAATTGCAAGCAACATAGCTATTGCTTATCTGGGAGAAATGCAAGTTAGGATAAAGAGGAATTTTATTTTGTCCTGGTGACACAGCAGCAGTAAGACTTTCAAAATTCCATCACCAATGTCCCATTGACTGCCAGTACAGTTTAGGCCCTGAAGTGCTTCTATTGCTTTTGTAAATAAAGGTGAGGTTATTTCCAAAAGGTTACCAAGAGTAGCTACTTTTCCATTTAAGGGAACCATATGCTGTGCATTTAACCATACGTGTCCCAGAAGTCTTCATGTTGTATCCCTTCCCCCACTACCTTGAGTCCACTGTCTGAGCCTAACACTCATCACATTGGACTTCATGATGATTGGAAGTTCACTGAAGCAAGAAGCATCTCTAGTATTTATTTGGATGGTGCCTAGTACACACTTTCTGGCTGTGAGAAATATGTTGTAATTACTGCATGACGAAGCTGGGGAAAAAAAATCCCATCAGTTAACAAAAAAATAGTTTAAATTGATGACAAGTATTAACAGTTGATGGATACATATGCTTACTGTAGGTGACTCTTTACCATCAAAAACTATTAAGTGTGAGACCTTCAAATAACTACAAAGTCTTCCTTCCTGAGCAAATATATTACTATTAGAACTTCAACTCTGTTCTTAAAAAATTTTAAACAGTCTGAATCCAGCTAATCAGCTGTCACAATTACAAACAACTGACAGCCAATTCAACAATACATTGGGAAGATACAAGACTCTACATCACTGACAACATACTGAAATTTAAATACCTCTTTATTGTCCCTGGAAGATCCAGACTGAATGGAATTTGATAGGAGGATGCTAAAGTGTCATCGACAGCCTTACTTATTTCCTGTAGCTCTTTCAAAGAAATGCAGCCAAGTAAAGCAGTCAGTTCACAGTCCTGTGACTGAATAAGTCTATCTTGTTCTTCGATTTCTCTTCTTAGCTGTTGATCTTTTGCTTCTAACATGGTCAGTCTTGCTCGGAGGTCTTCAATTTCTTTCTGCACAGAACAGAAACCCGAGTTTACTATGAACCACATTAAGGAAACCCCTCTGCCCCTAGAAAAATTCAGTACAAGTAGCATGAATTGAGGTTGTCCAATTTAGCACAACATTAAAGACACAGAAAAATTCTTGTGTCTGTTGTATTTAGAAACTCTAGTGCTTCCACAGTCTCCCCACCACCATTTCAACATCAAATTTCAGGTTTTTCTTCCAAACATCAACTGTCAGTCACCTTTTACCTTTAAAATATACAGGTACTTCCCAAGTTAAAAACTTCCCCAAAAACTCCCGAAATCTCAGTTCAACCATGACAACAGAATATTGCTACAGACTGGCAGCTAAAATGACCAACTATCTATCTGTCCTCCTGCAGAATAACCCTGCAATGGCTCCTCTAGGCTTCCAATCCAACATCAGGCACAGGATGCAAGTGGTGAATCACTGACTGTAAGGCCATTTGATTATTAATATTTAATTTTAATTAAAAGCACAAAATCCCTCTCTTGACTTAAAATGACCAGAGTTTCAACCTCAGTTGCACTCATCTTGCCAGAAGTTCAAACCAACCCCGTGCATTATGATACCCATGTTTCTTGCAAGAGCACGTTCTAATTTCTCCTTGAAAACCCAACAGATAGTTTGCACCCAAGAAAGGAGCATTTCATGAAGGAGTCTGGGTTGCTGAGTTAATAAAGTTATTTAATATATGGCTCTTGGCACATTTGTCCCAGGATTTGAAAAGTGAGTTTAAAAAAAAAAATCAAAAGGAGAACTACTTACTGTCAAAGTAGTTAAATGCCATACATTCATCATATTTGGAATTTGATTCTACTCCTACATTTCTTACTGTCTGTGAAACTTTGCAAGCCACTTAAACTATTATCTCAAAACATAGACACAGATTGAATGTTCACCATTTTCCATACAACCAACAAGAGAGGTCTCTAAAGTGCTATCTATAGACTCCTAACAGAAATCAAAGCTTGTAATTCCATGCTCTGCCCATATTCAGTCCAGCTAAAAAGAAAAATGAAAAAACCACCAACCAAACCTTTTTTCAAGTAAATAATTAGGCATTACAAAATTGACATTAGAAATGACCATACAGCTTTTTATGGTAATTTGCTTCTTCATTCTCCATCTGTAAAATGGCAACAAGAATATCTCTTCACCTAAAGCGATGTTACGGAGATAAAATTAAATTATTTTGAATCATTCAGATGCCCATTTGCAAATTAATAAATCTGCATCCAAAAGAGGGTTTGAGTGGCATACAGTAAAAGGGTTCTGGGGCCAAATACTGAGTAATGAAGATAAAACGGTATTCTGAATATCTGAACGAGCACTTTCCATCTTCAGCAATGTATGAGGCAGGGATCCAAGAAAAAAAAAAAAAGGCATGCTCATACAATTAAAGTCTCTCATAAAACATACATACTGTGCACAGATAACCAGCTTTGGCATTTCTTTGCTTTGAGCACTTCACTTCAAAGCCTTAACATTCTTTTAATATTTTCAATATAATTTAAGTGAAGTTTAGTTCACTAATGCTCATTTTGTCAACAAACATATTATCAGGTTTGCTGCACTGCAACAAGCTCCCTGAGTATCCATTAAAACAACAAAAAACAGTCCTTGCATGTTCAAAGGTTGACTGGCTCAAAAATTTCAACTTATATTAGTGCTGTGCAATAGATTCATCAATTATTTTCCTCCTTTTTTTGTTTTAGATTTAGCAACACGAGAACAGTGGCCCATGTTTCAACCCACAGGCATTTGTCAAGGACAGAAAGGTCAGCAGGCCAAAAACATCAGTTTTGTTTCTTTCAGTCTCAAATTAGGCTTTTAGTGCGCACAAAGGACAATTCTGTCTCTGTGTTACTGGTTTGGGAATACTGCCAAAATCTTAATAGGCCCTACTTAATACAAAGACCTTCATATTCTGTGAAATCTTAGTAATTGCAATCACTGCAATAAGCAGCCTACATGGGAATAGAAAGGGAGATGCACAGAATTTGGTTTTACAAACACACGTTTAGTACCAAAATGTTTTTACAACAGAAATAGATACCAGAAGCAGACAATCTGCATTCAGAGAGAAAGCTGTTCTGCTTGGGTATAGTTCACAGGCATTCTCGGGAGAATGGAAATTTTAGCCAGTAAACTGGAATTTTCTCACGTTCTTTTCCAGAAATGCCAAGAAGCCTTTCATGCGCTCTTGGTCAGCCTCCAGGGACAGATAAAAAAGGACTTAAAGTCTCAGTATGGACCAACAGATGATATTCAGCTCACTAAACATAAGCCGGAGCTTTACTTTGTGGATTTGAGTTTAAACTGAGACTTCTAACACAACAGCTAATCAGTACTGATAGTAAACACCCAGCTTCGCTTATGGGCTGGTGTTCTCCAGGAAGTACACGTTGCAGTAGAAACTTTAATATGTAAATTTTAGATACTGTCACAGGCTCTCTCAAATCCCTGAAGACAAATGCAGAACCAACAGGAGAGAGGGTAGAAGGAAAAGGAAGGTAAAGCAGGGGCTGAAGGAAAAAAAGAAAAATAACTATTTCAGATCATGTGAGATTTTGGGCAGAAGCAATACTTAAGGGATGCTGGGAGCCACCAAACATCACAGGTCAGTCTTCTCCAGAACCTGGAATTCATTATCATTTTGATCAAATTTTCATGTACAGCATGTCTGTACAACGATGTGGCTGATTTGTCCCTAGTATAACTACATAGGAATAAAGATTCACCTGAAGCAACCATAAAAACATTAGCTGGCATGGAGTCTTAAGTACAGCAGTTTTCAGTTGAATAGCTTGAGGTGACTGACTGCATGTCTAGATTACCAAAAATAATTTTCTGGATACTAATAGCTTTGAACTAGACTATGTCTCCTCTTATATGTTGATGAAATAAATCCAAACAATACAAAGGTGATACGTAGGATAGAACAGACATTTCTTCATCTAAGTAAGATTTTTGCAATGGCCATCTAATATGCATTTCTTTGGGGTTTTTATATATATATATTTATGTGTATACACACAGAGGATTATACTATCAGATCCACCAAAGGAAAAAAAAGTATCAAAAATAATGATATTTCAAGACAACACTACAGAAAAAAGAAAACTAGACCTGCTAGCTCTCTAAGATGTCACATTGCAGAGTGTGATCACTAAGGTTTAAAACAAGATGCTGGAAAGACTTGTACTAGACAGTAAACTGAGATTTTTGAAGGACAGTGAAAAGAAAAAGCTAAATTTTGCTTAAAAGGCTTGCAGATTTAAAATTGGACAGGAGCCGTCTTAAAAACATTCCATTTGCCAAATTACCACGTTGCGACATCACATGTCAGTGCATAGTTATTGCTGGCAAATACCAACTGCTCCATGATGATTCCTTCATCCTTATGAAATGCATCAATCATCTTTCCAGAACAAAAGCTGGTAAATCATGTATTTATAGTCAATTCTAACCAGAAATGAATGAAAGAATGCTTTCTTCAAAACTTTGTGTCTTCAAATAAAAATTTATGAAGATCAGCAAAATCTTAAAATGGCAAATTAAAACACAAAGAGCACACTTAAAAAGATAATGAGGAAAATTAAAGCATGCATGCAAGCCACTGAGCCTCCCAGTTCCGCTTTTCCATAATGAGATTAACACAACTCCTCTGGCTGCCATCTCCAATCATCACTTAGATTATCAACTGGACTACAGCCAAGGCTCTAATTGCTGCACAGAAGCAAAGTTACTATTACAATAAATTTATTTAATTCTGTGTGACAGCTTACAAGCTTTTCCCCACAGAGCACTGGTTCGTATAGACAACTTGCAGTCCCCGTTACCTGTAACCATTTCTTTTCTTGAGAAAGGTGGTTTCGTTTTGCGGCCAAAATCTGCATCCTCGTGGATCTCAAAACTTTATGTTCATTTTCGTGCCAAGGCTGGGTTTCTTCATGCCTCACCCTTTGAAAAAAAATTACAAAAGCTAAAAATTAGCATTATTGCTGAGTATTGACATCCCAAAGATTAAATAGATGAGAACACTACATGTTACCTTCAGAGTCATAACATTCCATCACCAGAATGATTACATCTTAGATACAGTTAGCGAACAAGAGATTTTTCCTTGGCATATCTTCCTTTATTATCTCAAACATTTACACTGTTTCTACAACATGCTGAAGAAGGAAAAAGGAAAACTTGTATAGCTTCAGGCTTCCCCCAGCTTTTTCATATTTCAGAAATTTATCCATCACTGCCTTGAAAGAGACAAAACTAAGGCATGTAATTTCTGTCAATACAGAGAAAAATGTCTCTTAGACATAAGTTTAGAAACTTGCCAAAGCCATTTTTGCAGCTTCTGTCAGCTTTTGGAGACTACATTAGAGATAATCTGGAGTGTTTGCTCCATGATGCCAAGTTTTACTTCTCTCTTGCACAGCGAGTTCTTTCAAAATCGCAGTCAGTGGGATTCCTCACAGTGGTCCATACAACCCTCAGCTGTAAATCTTTGCATGATTGGACCCCAAGGTAATCAGTGCATTACATTAAGTCTATAATCAGCCTCTCAGAATGCACCTGCAAACAATGCAAACCTATTTTGTCTTGCATGTTCCTGCACAAAGGCATGCGCACTTGCAAGGCCAATTGCATTTCTGTGTCCATCTCTAGAGACAAGTGCGTGCATTTCCACATAAAGGGTACAGATGCATTTCAATATCTTGTTTAAAAAAATTTGTCTCAAACAAAGGATGTTTTTGAAGCAGGATTTCCCATCGTAGTCTTGCAAAGCAAGGACAATCATGCCACATACAAAACATGCATCACAAGTCTGGTTTAAGCATGATTAATCACACAACTACAATCTCCACACACAGCTGTTTAACAAATGTGCAGAACAAGAGGTTCCCGTCTCTTCTGCAGGACCATCAGAAGACACACATGCTTTACACCCTCTCTATGGGGTGAAGAACGTACTGAAAAAGCAAAATAAAACCCTGGCACTAAAAGAAATGTCATTAATACTTAAACAAAATAATGACAGTATAACTGTATTTCTGTAAAAACAAAATAGATCAAAGAGACACCAGTATTATGAGGTGCTAAGCCATCACTGTGTATGGGCCTTACAATCATTATGGATTGCTGTGGCTCCAGCTGACCACACTTCCCAGCAACTCTAAAGCCACCTTCCTTTAGTAAGAGCTGTATCTTTCCGAGAGCTGTATGTAATAGAAAACTCTGAGTGGCTGGTCAGAATTTAGGAAACATTCCACTATAATGGAATATCCTTGAAAATCCCATGTACATCTGCCTACTTGGTACTGAGGAAACGGAAACAAGATCTCTCCAATCTCGCCCAGTGGTTCACTGGGTGATTGCACAAACATGACATTTTTCCCAAGTTAAACATAACCAAACATGGGTCCTACCACCTGCCCCAAATATCCCGTCAACACCAAATGCATTCACCCAAAAACATGAATTTCAGTCTCATGTATTATACAAATAACCTGCTATACACACTTTTCATTTAAAAAGTTCTTCATTTGCAAAAAGATGAGACTGGCTTAACTACAGTAAAACTGCAATGATCTGGTCCTTCTGGGGCTAGTCTGATCATCTTTTTAATTTTCCAGGTGAAAAAAGAAAGCTTAGGTATATTGGTTTTGTTCTGATCCAAAATGAAAATAAAAACTGATGCCTACAAATTTTCCTTGAAGAAGCAGTCATGTTTTCCACCCTGTACTATCTAAAAATACTGATGGAATGGAAAAATTTTAAACACCCCTATTGAAAACAAAGGGTACGTTTGCTGCATCAACAAGACAGTCAGACCACAGACGAAGTGGTGTGAAAGGCTACAAGAATCAAGCGAGAAAAAGGGTGTCACAACAACAGTCAAACTCAAGCTCAAAGAAAGCAGTGTGCACAAGACAGAGAAGTGAAGAGGATATTCATCTGACCCTGAAGAATGGCACTGCTCTCAGACCTGTGCAAAGAGAAGAGTTACAGCTATAACCATCCAAAGAACAGAAACACGTTCATAAATGTATATATTATATAAATATATATGTATCATATATAAAAATATATATACACATTAAATAGGGGGAAAAAATTTAAGCAGACTATGTATTTCAAGGATGCTTTAGTGACTCCATTTCTATGACACTGAAGACACCACCACCTCTAAAACTAAAATAATTATTACAAATGAATACATAGAGTGGACAGATCTTAATGACAAAATACAGAATGTGGTACCCTAATCTTGAAGGAACGGTAAAACAGCTTCTTAGGGCCTCAGAAGGTAGAAGGAAACAGTTCTGAGTGTGTTATTTGTTTTAAACCTGCCTCTTCAATAAATACTCTAAATAGAGGCTAAAAATACCCTTAAAAGTCTCAAATTTCACAATAAAATCCTATTATCTGTACTGATTTTATGTAGTTTTCTTGTGTATGAAGAATTACACCCAAACACATCGACTAGCACACTGCAGCTTTTACACGTACAAGCTGTCAGGAAAAAAAAAAAAGGTTTTTCTTCTTTCATTTGTGCTATTGCATTTGAGAATAGCTTCCAATACCTATGAAGAATCCTCTTCTAACAGTATAGCTAAAAAAAAAGACCTAGAGACAACTTTTTCTTCTTAAGCTAACTACCTCCCTCGGGTCATCCAACGTGTCTCACATTCCCCCAGTCTTTGAAGTTGTTATCCCTTCCAGAGAAGGCTAAGAATTTATTTTTGTGACTTTGTACAGTGCTGAACACGTTACTGCCACATAACAAGTGACGCATAAAAGGAAGCTCACAAAGATCTATGTATACCAGAAAAGAATCTGTTTTTTACTTTGTATTTAAATATCCTTTCATTGCCTGAAAAGGAGCATCAGAATTAACTCCATGGGGAACCATTGCTCAAGCTGCCTTGCCATTATATGTTCAAACTGCCATGTCAAGGATTCAAATCCCATTCCCACTCAACATCAGTGAGAAAACTTCCATTTAATTCACCAGTTCATCATGATCAATGTTTTTCAAGGCAATTCTGAAAGAATTGTAGAAAGAAAAAACAGGGGAGAAAGGGGAGATTTTCATAAACAAGCTCCATATTGGTATGTTAGAAAGGCCCTAAGATTCCTTATTAAAATTATTCATAAATTGTATTCTGCATTTTGAGAAAAATAGAAGCATCATTTTACATAATAAGGAATCAACAAACTTACCGACAATCAGCAGCCCAACGCAATGCGTCTTGAACTTGGGTAATGAACCTATCCAAAAAACTGTTAATTGAAGGATGCCTTGAAGGAAGCTGAAATTTTAAAGAATTTTTCTCTTTCTCCAGTTCTTCCAGTTTCCGTCTAAATTTATCAGCTAGAAATTAAATAATAATTTTGTTAAAAGTTACTTATCAGTTCCATTTTACCTGAAGAAGAAAAAGGATCAATCAACAAAAAGTAAAACCCACCTCACAGACGGTTCTTCCCCTTTTAATAAAATATATAGGTCTGTTTTGCTCAAGGAAGAATTACTAAGACTACAGTGGAAAACATCAGATAACCAGGATGCTAAGCTACTTTCTTCTATGACAACGACAAAACTGCAGGCTTCCCAGCACTTTCAGAGTTTTAATTTGGTAAGGCTCCAAAGGATTGGCTCAAAGTTATCATCTGTGCTCTTTTCCTACAGGAACAGCTCTGAATTAAATTCTAAGAAAATTCCTACTCTTCACTGCTCCAGTTTTAAAACAATCTTAGATAGCAGTTATACATTTAAAGTCTGACCTTTTAAAAAATTGCATTGTTATCAGGTCAAGAATTGAAGAATCACATAGGATATGTCAGCAATATATTTAAGCAGAAAATGCATGTACAATTATAGCAATTAAAAAACTATCTCATTTCAGGCTCTCCTGAATTATGCTTACTTTATCATCCAACAAAAAGATTTACTTTCAACTTTAAATAAAAGTAACAGTGGTCCTTAAGAGAGTGCTTTGACTCTACCATAACTCTATAAATTTCTTAGAGTAAACGCTTCTCTGTATAAGATAGTTCTTACTTTGTTTTCTCTTCCTGTGTAGAAAACAAAAGGAACATAGTTCCAATTACACATTATTATTCCTGGTACATACATTCTCTGTTCTCTACTGTGCCAGTATAGTAGCAAAATCACATACTTGACAGACAACAAGCCTGGCTGGTCCAAGCCAGAACACCTTTGATGATACATTAGTGAAATCCGAGGGTTTTGAGCTAGCCCACAAATGGAAAACCTTTACAGTTCAGTACTTTCCTCATGACCTCACTGCCTACAATTTTGCGTGTTTAACATTCCTTCCCTTCTAACATTTTCAATGCAACATGTTACTATCAGAATAACATCCATTTTTGCATGCTTTTTACTGCTTATTTTCTTTTTTTACCCTTAAAAGGGTTTTAAGAAGAGGGGTGGTTTACATTTGCTGGTTTAGCGAAATGGTGCATTTTTACAGTAATCTGTCATTAGCATTGATCTCCCTTCTGCTTCTGTGCCAATGGGGTAGAATAAAAACACAGAACATACTAGTGAGACTAGATCTTCTCCCTAGGCCAGCAGACTGTTCCAGGGTAAACTCATGTTATTGTTGTTATGAGGGTACAAAATGCTACCAGAAGGCTCTAGCCAAAATGATCATCAAACCACGGTACTTCAGGGTCCAGACCTTGCCCCAACCACCACATGTACACATATGCATACTCTTCCTGTAAAGGAAAAACACCTTTTCAGCAGTGGAGGTGAACCACATCTGTGGTGTGTTTCTCAAGGACCACACCTGAATAGATTCATCCTATCCCTGTCTTCACAAGGGAACTGGAATTCGGGCCCCAGTAAGGCTTCCGAGCCCATACTTTGGCCAGAAAAAACTTATCAGCATTTGCATTTCATGTAGAATTTCAAACACAGACATCAAAAATATCACTGTTACAAACAGAAAAGTAAGGTTTGGATTGTGAGCAATGACCACTGAATGCCAAAGCACATGGAAACACCTCCTTTTACTCAAACCATTCACCACTGGGCTTCCAGTGCTACCTGAGCAGGAGTTGTGGCAACCCTCTACAGCCATTCAATGACATTGTCATTATTCTTCAAAATAATTATGCTCACGCTGTGTCCAGTTGTTTCACCATTCTACTCCTACCCCATCCTGGCCTTGGAAACAGGCTATTTTGGGAAGGAAAACAGATGAGGGGATCCACATGCCAATTCATTCTCTCATTAATTCTTGGCGGCATCCTGCTTTATATATTCCAGTCTACACAGAATTCAATTAGTTTCTACTAGCAGACGTTTTTAAATAATTTGTTTCACCGGCATTTTGTAAGTGCTATTGCTGGCCAAAACTGCTTGACATCTCTCAGCACTAAATGATTATTTCTCCTTTCAGCATTGCGGTTAGGGGTTATGTCTCAAGAGACTCTGCCACCACTGAACTGAACACTGCAGCACTCTGCTTTAAGGCTCCTCTCTTGGAAAGAGACCCCTCAGTTTGACCTGGCTGATGTCTTAAGTGCATGGAGAGACCAAGGAATCTCAGTTCCAGCTGTGGGGCAGGGAACCATGCAAATAAGGCTCATGTCAGTCCAGTTTTCAGCATTGCAGTTCAAGAGGGATCTGGATCAAGCAGAAGTAGTGGAGATGATGGAAGTCTAGCAAATAGGACATGAAAAAGAGCACAATAAGCAGGGTTCCTCAATCTAGTGGACATACAGACTGAGGGGAGTAACTTCCAGTACTATTACATACCAGGAAGCTCCAAAGCAAGCTGTAACACAGTGCTTTTCACCTGTCCTCAGTAACAAGCCTGAGCTGCAGCAAAGGAGATGAGGAAAAACATTAGAGATAGTAAATCTAACTGCTTGGGACAGTCAGGAAATCTCCACCAGCATTGGTTTTCAGGTCAGATGAACAGCTCTCAGGAATAGCTCTGAAATAGTTTTTAAGGCCGAGGCCAGCAAGATCAATTGTGCTCTCTTGAGATCCCTTCCCATCATATTTTCTAGGGTTTTCCAGCCAAGAAGCAGACAGAGAAGGACTTAGCTATTCGTAAGCCATCAGACCCAAGGACATATCTTTCTTTTACCTTCAGACTTTTAAGCATGTTATTTCAACACAGAAAGACCTTCACAGGATCCCAGAGCTCACCGATAGACTAAGACACTGAAAGAAACCACGTGCACTCAGATACCTCCATCACACACAAAGGCTTAATACTTTGCTCCTCTTCCCATACTTCACCTCAAAATAAATAATTTAACACACAGCTTACATGCAAAAAGCAATCCCCCATTTGATGAAGTTCTTAAATGAAGGAACTTTAATGTATTCAATACACATTGTTTTACAGACAAACATTTAGAGTAAGGTTTAACTTTCTTTACCAGCCTTTTATTTCACCGTATTTTGTTGCTAGCTTGCCGCCTTGCAACAGTCCTATGGATACCCTAGACAAAGCTTCTACTTCAGGGCAAACAGCAAAAGTCAACCCTTAAGTTACCCTCCATCCCAATGCGTTACTGCCTGGTGCACTTCAGAACTTCAGGGCAAACAGCAAAAGTCAACCCTTACGTTACCCTCCATCCCAATGCGTTACTGCCTGATGCACTCCAGCCATCCCACTCCATTTAAAGCCAACCCAGGGTACAGGCCTGGAAGATGCTGACTAACTGCTGTTCTCGATTAAACACACATCAGTCAGAGAACTGCACTGTCTCTAAAGATTATGTTTTGTAATAGCTTTGAGCTAAGGAAGCAATTTCCATAATTTTTAATTGACCGTATGAAAACATCTGGCTACCTGTCTGCTTCTTACATATGCTGATATTGCTCTTTATTCCTTGAAGAGGAGGTTCACTTTATCAGAACTATTTATCATCATTAAAAAAACATTTAAGAGAATCATCACAGTAAGGGTAGAACCTCATTTGCTACATACTGCATGTATTCATGTATTTATGTCTGTTCTTTACTGATAGGTGGGAAAATGATCAATCGTGCTATTCTATAAATTGCTGGACTTTCTTAAACTGTTTCTTCAGCTAGTTCAACTAGAGAAGGCCCTTTGATCCTGCCCCACAATCCTGTAAACAACCCCTTCCCTCACTTCCCTCAAAAATCTGAAGGATCTAAACCAGGATTCACGCAGAGTTTACGTGTATGAATTACACATTGCAGCCCTAAAATCTTTTTCTTACCTGCTAAATAACTTCTAGAACTAGGCAACCTCCCCAGCATCCATCATCTTAAAAATGTGAAGCTACCAAGATGACAGAACTGTTTTTGTATACTCAGAATGAGAAATGTTGTTACCTATAAGAACTAAAGAAGTCCTAGGTTCGGATCCAAAGATGCCTCTTGCAGTCCATCACACACAGTAGCAGGCCTTTAGAGTGGAGACGAAGAACCAGGGTGCAAAGTGCCCCTCTACCTTGATACTGCTCCTGAATCTCTAAGGTTTGTCAGCTGAAAGAATTCAAACAGGTGTACACCCCTAGAGCACATCTTCAAACTTTTGTTCCACATGAAAGGAAAGCAGTCCATGAACTCCAAAGACTGCTTTACACTGCAAAGCACAGTAAACAGAAAAACTGGGAGATTCTTCAAAGGCTCACACACCTAATCTGAACTAAAACGCTATTTGGGCCAAGGTCCTTGGAATACTTCCAGCAGCCAGTGGAAAAAGTAGCTCCTAGAAAGGCCAGTAAGCAGACGCTAATGCTTTT